GAAATTTAAATAGGTGTGACTCTACCCCCCAAAAATCCCCCGGCCGCCCATGGTGGAGTTAGAATCCCACCATTCTAAAGGTTCCCAAGGTTGAGAAACACAGCCCAAGATGCTTTATATGATTTTTACAGTATTTTTCAGAGCAAATAAGCAAATGAAAAGACAAGCTACTGCACTCTCTCCTCCTACTTTGCCCTGCAACGACCCTGTGGAGTAGGCTGGGCTCAGGGGGGGGGAGAGACGGGCCCAAAATTCCCCCATAGCCGGTGATAAGACTTGAAGGTGGGTCTCCTCCTCCTCCTCCAGCCCCCAGATCACCCTTTCAGGTTCTTTTCCCCAGCCAAGCCATTCAAGGGAGTTTTGTTCTAAATCAGTGCTTTTATTTGCTGTTTGACACACGGTGCAAGAACGTAGGAGATACGTAGGGGGATTAGTGGGGAGGGGGCATGCGAAGAGAAAGTGGGCCACCCCTGGCCTCTAAGCCCTGACGTGGGGCTCCAATTAGCCTCTTGCCTGCTCCATCGGCTTATGCTGGAAGCAAGAAGCGGACCTCAAGATTTAAGCCAGTTGGAAGACAAGCTTTTTTGTGGGGGGGGTGGAGGCCAAAGAAGTGTGTGTGTGCAGGGGAGTAAAGAGGAACACTTTCGTTTCCAGCAAAGGTTTCATCCAAAAACATGGACCGGCGAAAGGAGATCTTGGACACACCGGCCGCTGCCAACTGATCATCTCTCAGGACATCTAAGACAGGATCTAAAGATCCAAGAGGGGGATTTGGCACCCACAAAAACTTGGCAAGGAAATTAAGAATGTTCTTCCCTTTGTATTTCGGCAAAGGTCCATACAGCCCTCGTCACTCCGGTCGAGGGAGGTCTAACCGTGGGCCCGGTTCTTGTGAAGGGGTCCTTCGCGGTTCCGCTCTTTGGCGCCGTCTCCCCGAGTTAATCTGCAAGGAAGGGACCAGGTTATCATTCAACAGGGGATCAATGGGATCACGGGGATCAGTGGGGATCCCCAGGGCTCAAAGGGGATTTGGTGAGAAGCAAGCAGGCCTGCGGAAAGGCGTTTAGAAATCTCCCTCGTGCGTGAAAGTTTCCCAGCATTGACACCTGTCTAAGAATATCCAAGTTCTGCCATAGTTATTGTGCAAATGTATTTAACCTAGGCGTATTTGCAAGACCAATGCTGCTGTTAGGAGATCTGGGAAGGGGGTCTCCTAATGGGGAGATTAATGCACCCCGCTTTTGCCGAAAGCAGAATCGATCCCCCTTTGAGCAACCCCACCTGGATATATTCAAGCCTGGCTGGCCACCATGAGAGCTAGAAACTTAAGTCGTCCAAGCCAGCTGACTTTCTCCATAGGAAAGAAATCTGCACGTTGCCTAGGTCTGCTCAGCGTCCTAACCTAGGCTAAAATGGGTCATTTCTGGTTCTGCATGAAGGGGGGAGCCTAACCCTAACCCTAAGATGGTTTATTAGTTTGAGGAGTTGCTTAGGGTTAGGGCTTAGGGTTCAGCAAGTGGAGCAATCGGGCTATTGCAAAAGGGTTTAAAAGCTGTCCCTCTTGAGTCTATTTTTTCTGACCCTCTCAGAGACCGTTGGCAAGGACGGGAATTGAAGCCAGCGTAACTGGAAGGTGCCAGTTTTACCCACCCTTCCTCTTTGCCTGTGACGCTTCCTCCCTGCCCCTGTTCTGACTCCCGAGCCCCTCACCTGCGTCCAGGGGCCGCCCCGAGCTGCTTCAGGACCACTTCTTCAAAATCGTCCACCTCCTCGTCGCTCACCCCCAAATGCTGAGCCAGCTCCTCCAGGGCGTCCTCGACTTCGTCCAAAAAGTCCACAAAGGTGATGCGGTCGTGGGCGAAGACCCCGTCGCTGCCGAAGAAGCCCTCGAGGACGGGGAGCAGCTGGCTGGAATATTCCCCCCAGCCCAATCCAGCGAGGTAGTTCTGCACCAGCTTCAGGAAGGGGGCCTTCTGGACGGGGGCCAAGCCTTCTTGCTGGGCGCACTCGGCGACCCCGGAGCAGCCGTGGGGGACGGAAAAAGGGTGCTCGGCCAGCGTCCCCCACAACTCCCGGGGCTCCAGCGGCTTCCTGCCTTTCCGATGCCCCCGCTGGGGGTCTCCTCCTTTTGGGGGCTTGGTTTGGGGTGGGGTGGGGTGCCTCTTGGGGTGGGCCGGTCCCCTCTCGTCGGCGGCTTTGGGGTCCCGGTCCTGGTGCCGAACTCTCTCTTCGCCGTGGTGTTTCCTCTGCCACGGTTTCGCTTTGCCCTGCCTAGGTTTGGGGCTCTCTTTCCACGGGGCCCCTTTCTCGGCCACGCCGAGGTCCAGCTCCCTGGCCAGCCTCTGCTCCAGGCTTTTAAGCTCCTCCAGGGGCGCCTTCTGGATAGCCCTCGCCAAGCCGTGCCGAAGCGAAGCCAGCAAGGAACGCAGCCGATGGACTTCTTTCTCCTGGGGCTCGGGTTTGCCAGAAGGGCGACGCGAGCCGGGTTCCTCTTCGGGGTGCTGGCGGGACTTGACGTCGCCTGCCTGGTCCGGGCTGTGCAGCTTCTCCTGGAGCAGCTGGATCTCTCCCCGGGCCGCCGAGAGGGCGGCCGTCTCCCGGTGCAAGGCCTCCACCAATCTGGAGTTTTCCGCCGCCAGGTTTTGCTGCAGGGAGCTGGCGGCCAAGCTCTCGCCTTCGGACTTCTGCAGCAAAGCCTGCAGCTCTTCCTTCTGGGCCTGGGAAGCCAGGAGCAAAAGGGATCTGGCTCAAGATCGAATCTGGGCGGTCAAAAAGGTCTTATTTTTATTTTAAAACCGCCCCAAGCTCTACGCACGGAGGCCGAGGGCCACCGTATTCCAGAACCAAAACTATGAAAAAGGATATTTCAGTTTCACCAGCGGGCTTTGGAATGAATCCAGGGTCCGTTCCGACCTTCTTCACAGCAGATATAAACAACAATTACATTAAACTCTTATTCTATTTTTCTATTATCCCATGTTATTTTTAATCCATATGGCATGATTGCATTTGTCATTCTTTTTTCGGTTTTGTTTCTGTTTTAATTCATCTTATTTTTTGAACTTTTGACTGGGTTCTTTTTTTTTCCCCCCCTTCCAAGCTTTTTCTTTGGATACTATTTTATGTTAGCTCTTATGGCTCTTATTTAAAATCTAATGAAGTTGTTATTTAAAAAAAAAAGGAATGAATCAAGGGGGCTAAGCCCCCTGCCAGAAAAAAGAAGGGGGCCCGAAAAAGAGACGGAGGTATGTCAGTCATGAGAAATGAGAATTTGGCAGCCGCGTTTATTAGCTACAAGCCACATCTGCCTCCAGGACCGCACAAGCTGGTCCAAACCGGGGATAAATGGCCAATGGACAATCAAAGGGTTCGCCAGAAATGCGGTTGACTTGGACATGTGTTGTTAACAAACTTACAGGTCGTCCTTGCTAAATGACTGTTTAACGACGATTCAGAATTATGACGGCCTTGGGGAGCAGGGCTTCACAACCCCCGCAGTCACATGATCACGATTTGCAACTTTTTGGTGACAGTGGTTAAGCAAATCACTGTGGTCATTAAGCGAATCATGTAGTCGTTCAGCGAATTCCGGCAAAAAACGTGCATCGGAGAAGCTGGCTTCGCTTAACAACCACATGACTCGCTTAACGACTGCAGTGATTCACTTAACAGCCATCGTAAAAAGGTCATAAAATCAGCTCCGATTCACTTAACGACCAAATCGCTTAGCGACCTAAATTCTGGTCCCTATTGTGGTCAGATGGCGAGGACTACCAGTACTGAAAAGTGGGGTACTAAAGTGCAGGTATCCCATTTCCAAGATTTCCAAGATATCCCATTTCCAAGAAGACCCAACGCTACCTGAAGTTCAGCCTGCATAAGCCGGATGTCCTGGTTCTCCTTGGCTAATTTATCTAGCAAGACCCCCATCGCATCCAGGCTCTTAGGATCGCCAGCAACCTCCGCCAAAGAAAGCTGTTCTTTTCCTGCCCGAAGCTTAGCATCGTGGGCAGAGTCCGGGGAGGGGGACCAGTCCTGCGGGGCAGAAAAACCAGTGAGCGATGACCTCCTGGGTGTTTTGGGGATGATCCGTCCTGTCCCAACCCAAAAGGCACTTCCTGTGGATCTGGAGCAGAGAAGGGAGCAGGTTATGGTTCCACCAGGCTGGAGAATCAAAGCTCCGGTTTGACTGAGAAGCAACCCTTGCTCAATCTGTTTTCAAGGCCACGCTGCTAGTCCTCATGGACCTGGCTAGCTCAGCCCTTCTCCAAGCCTGTCACCTTCACAACTAGCAAAGGTTCATCGAATTGTAGAGTTGGAAGGAACCTCCATGATTTAACAGAGTTTCTCAACCGTGGCAACTTGAAGACGTGTGGACTTCAACTCCCAGAATTCCCCAGCCAGCAGGGTTGAGAAACCCTGCTGTACAACGTACCGGAAAATCAATTTAGTCTTTTCCTGTACCTGCAACCTCCGCTAGAAAACTCTTCTGCCCTCATTCAGCTCGGGAAGTTTTTCTATTTTTTGAAATGACATGAAGAGAGCTGCTAACCTTGTATTATACCCATATTTCTCACTTTCTGCAGTTGCAAAAAATAACAATTGACCGTCTTCTCTGTAACTTCCCTTCAGCTCCTTGTCTCTTCTCTGGTCTTCCTTTTTTCAGACGGATCGTCCCAAATTCTGTTTTTAAGCTATCGCTTCCAGTGCCTGGATCAGGGACCCCCACCCCCATCATCACCCCCCACCCCTTTCCTTACCCTTCCACCACTGGCAGGATACGGCTCTTCCCCGTTCAGCCCCACGTTCAGCATGTCCAAAGCTCCTGAAGGATGGGAGGGAGAAAAGCCACGGCTTTAAAAAATAAAGAAATGGGGGTTCCCGTCTCCAATACCAGCCGTGCCCATCCTGGCAGGGAATTCTAGAAGGGGGGCAACGGGTTTCTTGGAGCCCAGGAAGGAAAAGAAATAGGGAAGAACATTTATATCTCGCCCCAAACTCACCATCCTCGGTGTCAAGGATGACCCCTGCAGAGAGAGACAAAGAATGAGTTTGGGGATGGCCGAAAGAGCCCCCCACTCAATCCCAGGACAAGGTGGTATCCTGGCCACCTTGGGGGTTCTTGCTTACCCAAGGTGGCCAGGACACCAAAACCCACAACGGCTAGAATCGCGAGCAGCCATTTCGTCTTGGAAAGCCCATCGCTCTCTTCATCTTCCTTAGCTTGATCGTGGGACTGCTCCGGCCCAACGGGGCGGACGTCGAGGTGGCCTTTCCGTCTGCGAAGACCTTCCACGTCGGCTTCTAGGGGTGCCGGCTCTTCCCCGATGCTGGAAGTGTGTGGTCCTTCCTGCAGGGGACCTGCGAGTGGGAAGGGGAAAAGCCACAGGGTCAGCCACCTGGTTGGAAGGTCACGGGCTCGCCTATGGTGAACAGAAATTTCTCCCAGGCGACCAGTCAAAGCGCGTCGTTATAGGAGAGGAAAGTGGTGCAAAATCTTTTCTTTAATTTTCAGTGGTTGGAACCCTGGAGATTCGATTGCAAGAAAGGAAGGCGCCCTTCGGCTCACTCTTACAAGGAAGGCACCCCTTGCTTTGAAAAGGTAAAAATCACCTGTTTGGGGGATGGCAACCATTTCTTCTACGATGGGCAAATGTTCTTCCTCTGGATTCTGGCTCTCCGTCTCCTTTTCATCCAGCAAGGGCAAGAGAGTAGCTTCTGGAGACAGGACTTGGCTGGAATCATCTCTGGAAATTAGGCTGTTGTCTGTCTCGGGACTCTGGATTAAAACAAAAAGGGGGAAGTTTGTCCCAAGGGAGAAGTGATTTTTCTTTCTATCTATTTGTGACTTGTCACACACATGCCCAGCCCCTCAGTTTCACCGTTCAACCTTTGATTTGTCTTCTTCCAGATCCGGTGTGTCCACAAAGAGGTCATTCTCAGGGGACGAAGCTGTTGGAAAGAGCCCGCGGGTCAATTGATTTATTTTGACCTCTGCCCCTTTCTCATATTCCTCTTCATTTTAACGCCAAGTTCCGGCTGCCAAATGTTTTCATTGCCAAAGCTTTGCAAACGCAGGTGGCAGGAAAGGGCAGAATGAAGGGGAAGTGGGTGGACAACAAGCAAGGGGGAAAACCTTGTTTTCTCTTGCTATGGCCCCTCAGTGTTAATTGGGGCTAACTTGCCTTCCAGCTGGGTTTCTTCTGAAGCTTCGAAGCCAAGATCTTCTATGGGGGGAGCCTAGAGAGAAAAAAAAATGGGTCGAGAAAGTTTGTACATCCTTCCCTTTTGAACGGCTTTCAGGAGAGCAAAGCCAGATCTTCACGCTTCCAGGATTCCCCCAAGTTATCCAAGTATCATTGAAAGACCGCACAGCTCCATAGGAAAAATTTGGCTCCGCAAAGTTAGGTTCAACTTTGAGGTAGGAAAAATAGAGGTCGTCCTCGTTTAGCGACCGTTCGGAGTTATGACGGTGACGAAAAAGTAACTTTGCAACCAGTCCTCACGCTGACGACCTTTGCAGGTCTGGAAAGCGAAGCAAGTTTGTAAGCACCATCGCAGTTTCACTTAGCGGCCACTTTGCTAAGTGACTGAGTTGCCAGGCCCCATTGTGGTCACTAAACGAGGACTACCTGTATAAAAGTATCCATACATTTTCTTTCAGACCAGGAATGAACAGTCCTTGACTTTTTAAACTATACATCCAAACTTTCCTCTGGTTTTTTTTTTTTTTAATGATAGATTGAATTGTATTTTAATAGTTTTCTTTTTCATTGTTTCGATCGTTCAGTTTCCTGTTATTTTAACTGCGGCCACCACCCAGAGTCCCAAGCGTGAGATGGGTGGCTATATAGATATAATAAATAAATAAATAAATTTTAATTCAGATATTTCCTGTTTACCCCACCTTCTTGGTTAGGAACAATCTCAGAGCGAGGAATAAGGCACTAAAAAGCACCCAGATGATGTTTCACTCCGTAATAAGAGGATTTGGTAAAAACCTGCATGTCTTTTGGACTCCAAAACAGCTAAATATGTTATAATACAAGCCGTTAATGGGAGGGATGGGGGGAAATCGAGCAATAGGGTCCCCTGTAATGCTCTGGAACCCCTTTTTTTATCCACGCCCACCTGAAGACACCCTCTTGGGTGCTCACCTCCGATCCTGTGATCACCCAGCTGTTGTTTTCCAACTCCTGGGAGTTTGAATGTTCAGCCATGTCTACTCATGCCCCGAGATCCTGGCTTATCCACCTGCAGGGTCGGGAAGCAAGATGACAGAAGAGCCTTTGGGCACGCAAGCTCCTTAAAGGAAGAGCGCTTGGTGCGAAAAGGAGAGGAGGTTTTGAATTTGCTAGATCAACGTGATCATTCTTCGCCTTTCCTGGGCAAAGCTCACCACCGATGGCTCGGTGCAGAAGACTGTAGGGGCGCAGAATTGAGGAGGGGGTGCATCAAAGATGTAGGTAGGTTTGCAAAAAAAAATTTAAAAAAATTTTGACTAAAAAAGGAGGTTTTAGAACATTGGCTAAACGTGTCTCCCCTTCCCTTCCCATCCTGTCTCATCCCACTTAAGATCCTACGCCCATTTAGCTACTATGCCAGTGTTTCTCAACCTTGGCAACTTTAAGATGGGTGGAGTTCAACTCCCAGAATTCCCCAGCCAGGAGAAAAGGAAGTCCACCCATCTTAAAGTTGCCAATGTTGAGGAACCCTGCTTTAGACTGTCTTAGCATAGAATCACAAGATTGGGAGGCACCTTGCAGGTCTTCCAGTCCAACCCTTTGCCCAGGGTAGGAATCCTCATACCATCCCATGCAAAGAGCTGTTCAAAATTTGCTTGAAAACCTCCAGTGATAAAGCACCCATAATTTCTGCTGCTTAATAGCTTTCACAGTCACAAAAACCCTCATTTTGAATGTGGATCTCCCTCTGTAAAGCTTCCTCCCACTGATTCTTCACATACTCTCTTCCCTGTGATTACTCTTCAGGTATTAGAATACTGTTATCATGTATCCTCTTAGCTTTCTCTTCTCTAAGATAAATATACCCAGTTCCTTTAACTGTTCATCACAGGATTTAGCCTCTTACCCCCTCACCATCTTGGTTGCTCTTCTCTGCATTCTTTCCAGTTCCTCAGCATCTTTCTCGCATTGTGGTGACCAGAATTGGACATAGTATTTCATGTGTGGTCTGATCATACATATTTCTTGTGATCCCAATACTATATCACAGCCAAGATTGTATTGGCTTGTTTGGCAACTGTAGCACACTGCTGGCTCATGCTTAATCTGTGGACTACCAGGACATCCAGATTCTTCTCACAATTACTACTGATGAGCCAGGTACTACCTACCTTATATCTGTGAATCTGTTTTTTCCTGCCTGGCTTCTAGTAATCTTGTTCCTTTAGAAGTGTTTGCAAATCCATTACTTAATTATCTTTCCCAAGATTTTCCCACGTACTGATGTCAGCTGATTGGCCTATAGTTTCCTAAGTCCACTACCCCTCCCTCCCCTCCCTTTTTTTAAAAAAATTGAACATCTAGCAAATCAGAGATTTCCAGATTGACTGACTGAATGATTTTTCAAGTCAACTTGATATGAGTATGGATAAGCTTATCCATTCTGAGTATTTGCAAACATTGTATAGTTGCGTGTTTCTCCACTATAATGTAACTGATTTCCATACCAGTACATGACATTGATATACAACCAAATTTTTATAGCAGAAGTATAAGCAAAATCAATATCTTAAGAATTCTTAAAAATGGAATTCCTTCCTTGGCTTCAGGAATGGTTTTCAAGATGATTTGTGATAGCAAGCAGTTTCAGATTTGGTAACCAGTGGTTAAATATGGAAAGATTTGGAAAATAAATTATGAAAAAGTGCATCACCTCAGATTCTTATCTACAAGTTCATTTCATTTTAGCACATTATCTCTTTGCATTTAAGGAAGATCTTAGTAAATTTCCATTGCAAGAGTTGAACTTGTGTTTGTTTCTATGAAATCAGATTTTTTTTTTAAAAAAAAAGAGATTATCTTTCTCAAATCTATTGAGCTGCATTGTTTTCATCCTAATGATGCACTGTAATTCTAATTCTACAGTTTATCATAGATAAAATATCAGTTCTAATGCTATCTTTTGTAACTGTTTATAGTTTCAGAAAATAATGACTTTGATGGTATTACAGCACAGGAATCCATGGATTAAATCCCATTCATTGTTATCATATACTAGCAATTTACATTCTCAGTACCAGGGACTGAAGTAATGGGAAATGCTGAAAACTGGAATTTAAAAAAAAAAAAAATGGAAACCCTTCATAAAATATACAATTTAGATCACAAGAAGCTTTTATTTTACTGTTAAAATTAAGAATATCTTTCATAAATTGACCCAAACAATTCCATTGATTGTTGCACATACCTGACAGAAGGTCTTCCCTTCTATTTATTCTTGTAACAATATGCCTGAGATTTAATTAATTGGGATTGATATGATTCAGCATCATCTTAACTGATTTTCAATTGTTTGGGCCAGGTTGAGAATAGATCCTCCTGGAGAAAATCTATTCATGGGGTTGCTAGGAGTTGACACCAACTTGATGGCATGTAATTAATCAGTTACTAAGATTTATACCTTTCCTTTCCACTTACTCAAAGAGGCTGCCAGAAGCTTGGCTATCTGGGAGGCTGGAGAGATTATAGAATGTGTTCCCCAAGAAAGTATATTAAAATAAAAGGATAATGCAAAGAAGGGTGGTACCCACTTATTGGAACATTATCCATTCCCCCGGCCCCCTGATTTGCACCAATCCTGCTGGCATTTCACAAGACATTAAAATACTTGGTTTTGCTGCCAAGCCTGGGCCCCAATAGTGAAGAAATGGGTGAGCCCATTTCTTGGCTATATTGATTGTGGGATGCTGTGAGTGTTCTCGGCTGCTATTTTATGTTATTTATGTTGATAATTATTGGTTGTGTTTTTATTCTGTTTTTATTGTCAGCTGCCCAGAGTCATGCATGTGAGATGGGTGGTCATATAAATTAAGCAAACAACATTAAAATCAAGAGTTAAAAACAGGCTAGTGAAAGGTATTTTGACCATTTTCCTAAATACTGGAGATTAAAAACACCTCCTTTGGGAGCACATTCCATACCCTGAGAACGACCCAGTTGAAGAATCTCTCCTGCCTGCAAAATAGCCAAGCTTCTGGTAGCTGGAGCATCTTCAGCATTAAACAGCACCACCCCTACTGTGGGCGCAACTGCTAATTCAGTGCAGCTCCTTGAATTATTCCTTTGGATTGGATAGTTCAAAATGTCTATTTCTTCTGGACCATCTACACATTTGCATCTCTGAACTGCACAGAAAGGTCTGTTTCACAGGTAAATTCACATAGTTTCCCAAGGTATATTTCATCCACCTTTATCCCTGATTAAATGGAGACAAAGTCAGTACTAAGACAGTGTAAAAATTTGATAAGCACATGCATTGCAATACATTAGTATTGCAATGTGCAAGGCGCTGATGAAGCCTCAGGAGACCTATTAGGAAAGCAACAACAATAAGGTTAGTGGTCAGAGACTGCTAATGCTTGGGAAATTTTGGGATTTTTTTTTAAAAAGAAACATAATCTAATACAATTTTTAAGATCAGGTTGTTGGATGAGGTAGTATAATTAACAGCAGCTAAACCTCTATATGATTTAAACAAGCATTTTGCTAAAGGTTTAAGAAGGAACATGAAAAAAATCCCCCTAAGTTATTTTGAGCAACTCATTAATGCATGTTTAGAGTTCAAATGGGTGGGAAAATGCAGAGCTTGCAATATTTCTAAGCAGCAGCTTGCCTTACCAACACAATTTTGCATCCTTTCGGTACAATATACACTCCTATAAAAAAAGGATTCAGTATCACAAGAAGAAAAGTGTGCAAAATACATGGTTGTGATTTTTTTTTTTTTAAATATAGCCTTCCCTGCTGACAGAGCAACAGTACTTTGGACCACTGAGCCCTGTAAAAGAGCAGATGAATGACTGGGAGAGATAACCATAATGCCTTCAGATTGTGAAGAAAATTAATGGACTGTTTTCCAATAAAGCTTTTCCTTTATAAATAAGTCGTCTATGGCCCTCTGCTTCTTCACTGTAAACAAGCTATTTGATTCTCTTTGCAGAATTCACTCCTCCTGCCTCCTGTTTCAAAACACTGTTACCATCTGTTGAGATGATGGGTACCTGGTCACGTATTACCAGATTTGTTCAGTTGCATTATGATTTATGGCAGGGTTCCTCAACCTTGGCAACTTTAAGACGGGTGGACTTCAACTCCCAGAATTCCCCAGCCAGGGTGGCTGGGGAATT